CTCCCTTCCACCTTTGCGAACCGCCCCCGGCCCCGTCAGTCTCTCTCAAGAAGCAGATTTCCCGCGCAAATTTTCTGGCGCCGGACCATGATGCCAATAGGCATCATTGTACGTGCCCTGACCGTCGTCTTCCCTTTCCCGCCCGAACGGCGATAGTACTGGGGCGCGCATACAGCTGGTAGGGAGTGTGTGTGTGTGTGTGCGTCTTCGAAACCGCCCCTTGGCGCGCGGCACCATCCAACGAAAGGCAAATATGTTCGATGGGAGACAGATAGAGAGAGAGAGGCCTGTGCGTGCAAGTGCATGTCGCCGCTATACCAGCTGGACTGTCCGCTAACCAAGTCAAATGAGCGGACGCCGCCATAGATGTGTGTCTAGGTATGCTCCGGCTTGGACGAGAGATAACTATTAGCCACTCCGGCAAAGTTAAGTTAGGTATGGGCCCTTTAGCCACCACTAACCCCAATATTGTGTTAAACGGGAATGGGGTTTTTAAGGGTGGAGTCTCACCGTGGGGAACCAGCGAAATATGTGCAAGAAAATATACAAAAAAATAAGTAAATTTCCGTCAACTTTTTTCCTTTACGCCTATACATAGCAACGAAAACGAAAAAAGACTCAGTAAATAAAAGGAAATTGAATAACTAAAACCACAAAAACGCAGAGTATGTCGTTATATGGATGTGGTAGTTTAGAAACAGAGGGCTGGTTGGGGGGAGTTTGGCAGATGTAAATAAATCATTTGACCCAATTGTGGAAAAACTTGGCTCCAGGTGGAGACCTTGTAGCCCAATTGGCTAGAGCGTTGGCTGTGCTGAAGTCTTCCCCTCGCTCACGTGTGTTCGAATCCTACATAGGCCGCCGAGTTTTTTAGTTGGTCAAATGAATTATTCATATTGCCTGGTAGTCATCTGGTGTATTCTAGATCGGTTGCCTGGGAAATCCTGCTCCGATAGTCAGAATTGGTGGATTCCATAGGTCGTAGTAAGCTGGAGGGATAGAACTGTTATAACGAT